TTGCTCATGGATTACAAGAATCAACATTTTCAAAATGACCCTCCTACGCAAAACAATATACAGATTGGACACAATATCTTTAAAAGTTTAAATGGCCAGAGCAATCATTTTTAGATTTCAAACTGTACTATAAAGCCGTCAAAATGGCATGATACTAGAACAAAAACAGATACAAACCAGTGGAAAAGAAATGAAACCTGAGAAAATGACCCCACACCTAGATGGACAGTTAATCTATGATAAAGATCCAAGGATATACATTGGAGCAAGGTGAGCCTCTTCAATAAATGATGCTGGGATTGGCGTGCAGACCTCTCCTGCCGCCCGCTGCTCCCCTCAGCAGTGTGTTTCATCAGTCTGCCTGTTCTGTTCCCCGCTCTGGTGAATTCTCTCACCCTCTCTTGCTTCTGACTGTGTCCAGTGCTTGTATAAACAAATAAACAAACAAACAAACAAATAAGTGAATCTTATAAAAATAAATAAATGATGCTGGGAAAACTGGACAACATGCAAAAGAATGAAACTAGATCGTTATCTCACATCATACACAAAAATCAACTCAAAATGGATGTAAAACCTGAAACCATCAAACACATAGAAGAAAACAGGCAAAACACTCCTTACATAAGCTTCAGTAATGTCTTCATGGATACATCTTCAACAGCAAGGAAAGCAGATAACATAAACAGTTAGGACTACATCAAACTAAAATGCTTCTACACAGTGATAGAAACTGTGACTAAGATGGGGGACTCCCTGGTGGCCTAGGGGTTAAGTCTCAACACTATCATCACTGTGACCTGAGTTCCATACCCGGCCAGGGAGCTAAATGCACATGGCGCGGCAGACCTCTCCTGTTGTGCCTGCTGCTCCCTCAGCAGTGTATCTCAGTCTGCCTGTTCCAGTCCCCTCTCTGGTGAATCTTACCCCTGCACCTCTGACCTGTACTCCAGTTCTTGTATGCATAATAAATAAATAAACCTATCTTTAAAAAAAAAAAAAACTAGAATGAAAAGATATCCTACTGAATGGGAGAAAACACATACATACCGTACATCTAACAAGGGACTAAACTCAAAGGTATACAGAAAGCTCATAGAACTCAACAAAAGAAAACGACCCAAGGGACTCCCCGGTGGCGCAGCGGTTGAACCCTGGGTTGCGAAGCTGCCCGCAGCCTCTGCAGTGCCGGCTCGATCCCCGGCTGCCGGTGAGGGTCCCACATGGCGCACAGACCTCTCCTGCCGCCCGCTGCTCCCCTCAGCAGTGTACTTCGGTCCTTCTGCCTGCTCTGCTCCCCGCTCTGGCTCTGGTGAATTCTCTCACCCTCCCGCGCTTCTGACTGTACCCAGTGCTTGTATAAATAAATAAAAATTAAAAAAAAAAATTAAAAGTGGGTCTGCCGTATGAACGAGCAATTTTCCTAAGTTTCTACCCAAAGAATAGAAAAACTCTAATTCAAAGGGAAGCCTGCACGCCTATGTTCGCAGCAGCACTACACACTTTTTACAATAGCCAAACAACGGAAACAGCCAAAGTGCCCCAAAACAGATGAGTGGGTCCAGAAGATGTGGTATATACACAATGGAATATTACTCAGCGATCAAAGAAGATAAACCTCATGCCAACATGGATGGAACTGGAAGGGATTATGCTAAGCAAAGTAAGGAGAAAGACAAATGCTGGGTGGTGTCACTTGTAGGTGGCATTCAGAGAGAGCAAACAGAAGGTCAAATAGAGCCAAACTCAGAACCCTTGAAAACAGACTATAAACTGACACCTTCAGAGAAGGAAGGGTGTGTGGAGGGAGAACAGTGGACTCTGGTGGTGGACTCTGGGTGCTTCGGTGGTGGGTTTGCTATGGCTACAACACCTAAAGTGCAGGAGGGGATCCTATACTTTCAAAATACAAATAATAATGTACATCAGTACTATGGCGATAAAAAATAAAAGATACATCCATTTTTATTGCTTCGCCACTGTGAGAATGGCCTGTATCAAAAAGAATGAAAACAAGTGCTTGTGAGGATGTGGAGAAAAAGGAACTCATCCACTATTGGTGGGAATGCAATGTGTTATTTTTTTACCTATTCTTTAGGTAGAAACCCAGGAGTGGAATTGCTGGGTCATACGGCAGACCCGTTTTTAATCTTTTGAGAAAGCTCCATACTGTTTAGAAGGCAACAAAAGAAACATGGAAATACCTTATGGTGCAGTGACCCCACTGCTAGGTATCTCCCCAAGAAAATGAAAAGTCTAATATGAAAAGATGCATGCACGCCTGTGGCCACAGCAGCAGCAGTCAAGTATTAGAACCAACTTAAGTGGCAAGTTCCCAGTGACAGATGACTAGATAAAGAAATTGTAGAAAATCTCTTCAACGGAATACCACTTTAAAAAGATGGGAAGTGTCTTTTGGGACAAAATGAATATATACTGAGGCCAGAACAAGTCACAAAGTGAAGGACATTTATCAGATGGTCTCACTTAAAATCTAATCACTAAAGAAAGCAAAGTGTCACAGCACAGCAGAAAAACAGCCTGCGCAATGCACTGGGCGGGGGGGGGGCATGGCAGTGAAGGGGTGAGGGAAAGGAAAGGAGTAGGACATTTGCAGAGGAGTTTGGTGGAGGGTGAGTACATTTTCACACATATGGAGGAGTGTGAAACAACCGACTAATAAAATTCGAGGGAAAATTTAAAGAAGAAAAAATCCCCAAAGTATAAAGACCTCACATAACTCGGCAGCAAAACAAGAAAAATTTTCCCCCCAAAGGCAGCATACCAGTGCATGAAAAGATGCTCCACCATTTCAGAGAAGTCAAAGCCACAGAGAACCAGCACATCATGAACCTGTTAGAAAGGCTATTATCAAAGAGAAAAAAAATGCAATTGGTGAGGACGGAGAGACAAGGAAACCCTTCTGCGCTGTTGCTGCGAACAGAAGTTGGTACAGCCACTCTGGACAACAGTCTGAAGACGGTTCCTCCAAAAATTAAAAAACAGAACTACCGTATGATCCAGCAATTCCACTTCCCGGTAATTATCCAAAGAAAATGAACACACTACCTTGAAAAGATATATGCCCCCCATGTTCATGGCACTATTCGCAGTAGCCGAGATGTAGAAACAAACATGAGTTCACAGCTGGATGAGTAAAGAAAATGTTGCGGGTGGGCGGGGGTGGGGTGGGGGGGGGTGGGGCTGTAGGGGGGGCACACACAGTACCATGAAAAGAATTTTTTTTAAATCTGGGCATTTGCTTCAGCATGGATGAATCTCGAGGCAGAGAAAGTGCCCGAAGGCACTCGCTTACACATGGCTCTAAACCACCACCAGCCAAACCAATCGGAGAGCAGACTGGTGTTTGACGGAGGCAGGGAGTGGGGTAGACAACAGGGAGGAAAGGGGTGAAAAGGTACAAATCCGCATCATAAAATGTCGCGGGGATAGTGCCCAGCGTGGTGACTGCAGTTAATGACACTGTGTTACACATTTGGAAACTGCTGAATGAATAACTTAAAACTTGTCTTCGCAAGAAAGATGTTTCTGAGTATATGTGGTGTCATGGGTGGATGGTAACTAGATTGGTCAGGGCAGCGCTCATTTCATAATCCACACAGACATCAGATCGCTGTGCTGTACCCCTGAAACTGGGATGTCGATTACACCTCAGTTAATAAAAAGAAGTGTCCGGGCCCCCAAACCCCATACCAGCGGGTGCTGTATCCAGCCCACAGCGAACACCTGCTGGCCTTGCCCCGCTCACTTCCAATGAAGGGGCAGTTTCTTACACACTGGGAAGCCAAGACTGATTTTGACCTAAAAATATGGAGACAGTGTTGTTTTTCCTTACATTCGCCAGATTTGTCCTTGCTACCCGGCCTTTCAAACTGAACATTGCTTAAGGAGACATGCACAGAAATATAAGGTCTATAAAGTAAGCAAAGAAATCAGGAGCTGAGAAGTCAGGATGATGGCTTCTCAGGGGGACTGGAGGCTCAGGTTGGTGAGACACACAGGAGGCCCCTCCCAGGGCTGCAGTTCGTGGCTACACAGCTCTGGGGATGCCATTCATGGAAACACGCCTCACGTACTGGAGAAAATCCATTTCTTTACCTGAGTAAGGATTTTGGTATTCATATTTTTCTCTGGAAAGGCTTAATATATTCTCTTCAATAATATCTCTATAGAACAGTACATAAGTTTTATTTAGACTTCTGAATATATTTGAGCCCACCAGGAGTTGGCAGACTTTCTCCATAAAGGTCCAGATAGTAAATATTTCAGCCTTTTCCAGCATTTAAGGTCTATGTCCCAATTACTCAACTCTGCGATCACAGTGTAAAAGCAGCCACAGACGCAATAAAAACAAACAGGCATGGCTGCATTTCAACAAAACTCTATTTACAAAACCAGGTGGCTTGGTTTGGCTCTGAGCCAAAGTTTAGGAAAGCCCAGATTACACAAATCTTTAGAAGAAAAATGTAGCTGTGATTCCTCTGGGGGATTGAGAGTCTGGAACAAAGGCCTCCTTGGAGGTGTCCTAGGGGGGCTGATAATGTTGCTTCGGGATCTGTGTGTATTTTTGTTAGGTTATTACTGTGAACATATCTGAACCACATTTGACTTTTTATGAACTTGGGGTTTTGTCCTCATTGTATTTTAAGATATTGAGAGAAAACTGATGTTTGAACTTGATTTTATTTGGGACCCATTTTTTTTATCAGAATTATCCAGACTAGTTCATTCTCATCGACCAACAAGAATAGTATGTCAGTGGTTATGGCTGGGTGCCTCACCATGGCTCTTAAAAGCAGGCATTACTTTTTGTCTGCATTTTACAACTGAAAAATGCTGACTTTTCCAAGAGCCAATAACTAGTACAACTGAGATTTGAGCCTGCGATGTTCAGCTTCAAGGTTTACAGGTTTTTTTCTAAGTACACTATCCGTAAAAGGCATCTTGTTTCAATGCTGCCAAAATCATTTTGGTTTTAGATTGTCTTCGCAGTTTTACTGACTTAGAAGAACTTGATGAAACAGAGTTATATATGTGCCACAAATGCAAAAAGAAACAAAAATCCACTAAGAAGTTTTGGATTCAGAAACTACCCAAGGTAAGTGTTGAGTGCATTTTCAAGGGAAAAAGACTTAGGACAGATGAGAACACTTCTGTAACCTTCATCTCTGATCTTTCCTGTATTGGTCTCTAGGGATTTCAGTAACTGCTGAACAAGCCCCCTGAGCATGCTGCAGTAAATGTGTCCTGGTTACACTTTCCCGGGTGTGAGTGGGGGAGGGGGAAGGGAGTCCCACCACACCATCAGCAAGTAATCTCTGACACCAGCTGGTGTCCTGTAGGGCAACTCACATCCCACACTATCTACCCGGACAGAGTATCTGATTAAAGACCCCGTCCCCGAGACCACCCTTCCCTGCAGATGCCCATCACAAGACCAGGATGTTATCTTAGGCTTCTGACCAGTGAACCGTGGGTTGGAGTTCCCCATGACCCTCTCTTGGGTTCAATTAATATGCTGGAGCAGCTTATACAATTCAGAAAACATGTTTAGTCACTGGATCATCGATTTATCACCAAGGATGTTAAGGATACCACCCAACAACCAGGTGAAGAGATACACAGGGCGAGGTCCCAACCAAAGGAGCTTCTGCCCTCCTGGAATCTGGGATCTGACAGAGTGACACTTGAAGTATTCTGGTTCCCCAGCTTGGAAGCTGTCCAAACCCAGTCCTTTGGGGGCTTTATGGCTGCTTCATTATAGAGACACAAACGATTAATTCATTGGCCATTGGCAATCCAATTTCCAGTCCCTCCTCTCCTGGGAGGTCACAGACATAGGACTGCAAGTTCCCAGCCTGTAATCACTTGCTTGGCAACCAGCCCCTATTCATAGGTGTGGTCCAAAAGCTACCTCATTAACATAACAAGAAACTTTTTTTGCAGATCTCTTCAGTTAGGAAATCCCAAAGGTTTTAGGAGTTCTTTGCCAGACAAGGAATGAAGAATACATATTCCTTATTATAAGCCACAATTCACAAGAATGTATGCATGGAAGAAAAACTACTCTGAAAATTGATAGGCCACCTAAAATACTGTTTGAGACACATTAGTATCAAATAATTTTGACTAAAAGGTAAATTAGGGCCTCCCTGGTGGCGCAGGCAGTTGAGCTCCGCACTGTGAAGCTGTCCGCAGTCCCTGCAGTGCCAGTTCGATCCCGGCCGGCCAGCGAGAATCCCACATGGCACAGCAGACCTCTCCTGTCTCGCCTGCAGCTCCCCTCAGCAGTGTATTTTGGTCAGTCTGCCTGTTGTTCCCCACTGTCTCTGGTGAATCCTTTCACCGTCCCGCACATCTGGCCTGTACCCTGGTTCTTGTATAAATAAAATCTTTTTTAAAAAAAGGTAAATTAGGTGTTTGTTTACAATCTTTGTGCTTATCTCTCATCCAGGTGCTGTGCTTACATTTAAAAAGGTTTCATTGGACAGCATATTTACGAAACAAAGTGGATACATATGTAGAATTTCCACTGAGAGGCCTAGACATGAAATGCTACTTATTAGAGGTAAGATGGCACTTCCCTAAAATTAAGTCTCCATTTGGGAAGGTAGAACTCATTGAGACGTTAAGATCATTGACCACTGCTCCTAACTCAGTCTTCGGATGCCTTCTTTCCTGTTTTATAGCCTGAAAACAGTGGCCCGGAACACTGTCTGTACGACCTCGCCGCTGTGGTAGTGCACCACGGTTCCGGGTGAGTGTGTGGGCAGGCTTCATGTGGGTGGGCCTGGCATGGTGAAAACCTGCATTTTTGTGCTTCTTTTGATAATTCTCCCTGAACTCCCTAAAAAGTGGGTTCCATATATTACAGTGGGTGAAGTAGGGCTTTCCTTCAGTTTTGCTGAGAAAGAATATTCCTGAGATGATGTGAAGCACGAAGAAAAGGCCCATAAAATGGAGAAAGGTTCCTAGGAGCCCAGCATTCAGAACCCAGTTGTGTCACAAAATCCTGAGTAGTTTACTCCAAAGTTGTTCTTTCCTTTGCCATTGGATATTTAAATGAGGGAAAATTGAAAATTATTTTGTTGAATAACATTCCTGATTACTTTCTTTCCTAAGTTTGCATTAGGGCCTATATCTTCGGATGTCTGGCCTGAGAATGGCTATTTCAGCTTGGACTAAAAAAAGAAAAAGCCCTAACTTGGATGACTATATTTGGACAAACCACTATCCATGCTGACAATTTTTCTCCTTCAAAACTTTGTAGACATTGTTCCATTGGGTTCACCATTCATAGACTTACGAATGACAAGTCCCTTTTACAAGTCTTATTCTAATGGATGCTCCCCTTTGGACTTGAGAAATTACAGCAGGCGTGTTCTGCATGGTAGCTGGTGTGGACGTTCAGTCTAGCGTCTTCAGCTCATGGAAATGTTCATTTGTTCCACCCATTCTGTCTTCTGAACGCTTATTAAATGAACAGTGGGTTTCCAGGATTAATCGTCCACATATTTTAACTACCTTTAGTGATTTCCATCTCTTTGTTTTGGAATACTACCATGGACTATTTTTCCATCTAGTAGCGGTTTCAACTGTATCTAAGTTGAAGATTAGCTTCTCCATGAAATTTTTATATTGTTGGCAATCACATGTTTTGATAACTCTTTCATAATAGCCTATTGTTTTACAGCTGCAGTATCTTCTTGAAATTGTTGGTGCTGATTAGATTTTTTGAAGTTCTCAGTGGCTGATTGCTTTACTGGTTCTTCCTGGTAGTACTCTTTCATGCTGTTTTTCTCCCAAGAATTTGATTTTTTTGTTGTTGTTGTTGCTTATTCACGATCATGATAAATGAAGGGTGAGACTGATCATTATTGGCAAGTAAATGTTACCTTAGCAATAACTTAGCAGTTACTTTTCTCCTGCTGGGGGAATGGTCTGAGTCTAGGGTTGTGTGTGAGTTTTTGGGGGGCTGTGGAGAGGACCATACTGATGAGAAAAGACCTTGATGGGACAAGGTAGACCTTGATGGAACAAGGTAGGGGCAGTGTTTCCCTAGAGACGGTTTGCTTTCCCAAACTCAGGTTCTAAGATTCCGATGGGAAACCTGGTCCTATTTTCTGCGCTTGTTGGGCTGAGAGTGACTAGCTGTTGGATGTCTGCATTTATCTGGTGCCATGTGAACATTTATGTGTTCTCAATTTCCATTCAGTTGATAGCACTCCTGCCCGTTCTCTAGTGTATTTCATCATCTCAGTGGGTTTTGAGGAGGATAAGCACGAGTTTAGCCTAACCAACCATCTTAAACCACAAGTCTCTAGGAGTCATTCTTCAATTGTATTGTACTTTTTAATACTTATTGTATATCTGACAAATTACATGGTTGCACAGATCCTTGGTTTCTGTTGTCTTTCTTTGATCTTTGGGCTTCTCTTTGCAGGGTCGGTTCTGGACATTACACAGCCTATGCCACTCATGCAGGTCGCTGGTTCCATTTCAATGACAGTACTGTAACACTGACTGATGAAGACACCGTTGTCAAGGCAAAGGCCTACATCCTTTTCTACGTGGAACGCCAGGCCAAAGCTGGATCGGATAAACTTTAATACCTCCTCTCAATCGTTATTTGTCAACTATACCGGACAAACATTTCCAATTTTCCATAAATACTTGATCAAGATTTAATTTCATTATGCACTTTTCAGGTTTCTGTTTTGAAGTTAGTTTTATGTCGTCAATGGTAGTGACTTATTGAACATGAGCACCAACTAATTTTTTTAGTTCTACCAGAAAACCTCAGCAGATATTTTGATTTGCTGCTTTAGTTGTAATTCAGTTTTTAAATGTAGTTTCAAAAACTTAGTTTTACTTGACTTTTTTATATTAATGTTTTCAGTTCTCACAATGAGGCACATTTACATCAATGCTTGTTACTCACATGCTGAAAGCAAGATATGTTCCTGATTGTGAAGAGCAATGTAACTGCCTGCTGCCTTTCACAGCTGTACTGAAGATCAAGTTGACTCTGAATCAAGGATCACGTTTCCCTGAAATTTGTGGCCAACAAGATTTCAGTGACTGCTCAATAATCGTTTTATTGGCTTGTAAATGATAACTGAGAGGGCATCACTGAGTAGACCAGGGGCTCACTGCTCTCGCTAGCTCTCAAAGCTGCTGTTTATCAGCACTAATGAAATAAATTTGCTCATTTAGTTATATCTGGACTGCATATTCAAGGTTGTTTTTTTTGGGGTGGGGAGGGGATTTTTGTGTGTGTGTTTTTGTGGAAAAGATAGGAATACAGAAGGTCCAAATATAAGACCAAATGCATTTAGTGTTTTAAAAATCCTGTGACTCAGCTATATGGTATAGGTGTTATCCAGTGAGATAAAACCCGAGCTTGTTTGTCTATTTGAATCAGCATCTAATTCCCCATCAGTTTTCGCACCAGTGCTAACTACATGTCTACTTTGGTCTTCCTCCATAGTTGACCATCTGAGGTTGAGATGCTAACTTCCAAAGTCGATTTTGACCATCACCTGTACTTCAGGTAATACGGAGGGATCTGCTTCTGCAGAAGGAAATCAGAGTCTTTGTTACTCTGGTTCAAAATCCCTCACTGGCCTATCCTGATAGCAGAGCAAGTTGAAAATATTCTTTGAGTAAGTAGAATTTCTATTCTTAGGTTAGTCATCTTTTTAAATTAAGAGAAATAGGTACAAGTACTATTTGAACTTAACCCAAACTGAAATTTGGGACTAGAACCCCATATAAAGATAATTGTGATTTCTGCGAGTCTTTCAAGCCAGTCTGTTGATTTTGGAGTGGTGGCTGTATGATTTGCAAATACTAAATTAGGAGGAACTCCAAAATAGGCCAGTAGCATAGGACCATGCACTGTTCTCATGGTTATCTGTTGCCTCCATCACTATTCCCTCCCTTCTCAAGAGTTGTTATGAGAGGCAGAACTATGTGATGTTATGCCAGCCAACCACACTTTTTGGTACTGTTTTTTTAATTAAAAGAAAATGGTCAGATTTTTTTTTTTAATACAATAGCTGGGGTACAGGCCAGAGGCATGGGAGGGTGAGAGGATTCACCAGAGACAGAGTGGGGAATAGAACAGGTCGACAGAAGGTACTGCTGTGGGGAGCAGCAGGCGAGACAGGAGAGGTCTGCAGCACCATGTGGGAATCTCCCCGGCTGGCTGGGAATCGAACCCGTGCTGCAGAGGCTGCGGACAGCTTCGCTGCACTCAACCCGCTGCGCCACCAGGGAGGCCCCATGGTCAGAATTTTTAAAAGTGTATAAATATAAAACAAAGTTTGGAGCTGTCTTCCTAGGTCAGATATCTGAAGTTGCAAGAGCAGATGTGGCTGCATTCCCATTTTAATATGAGTGGCTACACCCCACGTTTTCTCAGTGCAAAACACATGTGCTGAACACTTTAACATGACTCAGAGCAAATTGCAATTACGTCTAAACTTGTACCATTCAGTAGAGGTCACTAGCCACATGGGGTTATTTAAATTTTAATTAAAATTCAATTAAAACTATCATTCAGTCACACTGGCCACGTTTCAAGTATTCGCCCATCAAATGTGGCACCAGACTGCAGGCTGCGGGATTTCCACACTGGGTAGAGTACTTGGATAGGGCTATATTGATTTTCACTCCAGAGAAAAAAGCTTCAAGATCATAGTTAGGTCCTAGAACTTAGAAACAGAGTCTAGAAGAGGGAAACTTGCATTTAAAGTAGTTCACAATGCTGTTACATTAGGTTGAACCATAGGAAACGGCCATGTTTTTGATCTGTAAAACTGAGCTTCCACATAATTTGATCTAATACATCGATACATTCACTCCACATCTAAGTGAACTTGAAAGGCACAGCTCCTGCGAGCTTGCTGAGTATCTTCAGTGAATCCAGGCTCTTTTGCTTAAAAGGCACAAAGCCCTAACTCCTAACCTTTGCACTTAGACATTTCGTCTCTCTGAATGAGCAGCTGTTATGACTTAACAATAAAGCCTTGGGCAGTGTCGACGTTGATGAAGAAAAGTTGTCTTTTTATACCAAACGGAACTTGGCAACAGTCTGCACCGCTTTGTTGGGTCATCAGACAGACAACTCTGTTGGCTTGAGAGATGAACATGTCTCTCCGAGTTTTTGTAGTGTTTTTCCTGCTTGATTTTACTGAAGCAGAAATGTTCAAATGATATCATGAAGGCTCCTTGGAAGTGTTGGATCCATTTGAATTGTGCACTTGAACACCAGTGATGTAAATGTGCCTGTTTGTATTTCAAAAATTCAACTGTGTAGCCTTATCACACCTATTTTGAAAGCTGATCTTTTTGTGTTCTTCAAGGCTTTTCCCTGTGCCGTGCCGTCTCTAGCGTGGATGTGGCTTCTCGCTCCGAGAGCTCATGCTGAGACAGGGCCTCACAAGTCACACGGCTCCTCAGAACAAGAAAACTTTCACAGAAGTCCTCCCACACGGGTGGGTGATAGATAGTTTGTGGCAACACAAATCTCTCTCCATGATGGAGAAACCTTTGCTTATCCACTGTGTTCTATTCAGTGTCTAGTGATGACAAATGTAATAGAATTAAACCAGTAAAGCGTGTTGGCCCTGGTTAAGTGTTAAGTGTGTATCTCACTTGTGGGACCTGCTCAGCAGCTTGGTTTCGGGGGTCGGGGACATATTAAGTTCCTAAAGGCAAACCTCTCCTTCACTGGTTTAGTGTCCATAAGTCTATTTGGATACACTTACCCCACTTCAATCTCCACTGCCCCGAGTTCTCTCATGTTCTCTGTTGCTAACGGGGCATCTTCCCTTCTGGAAAAGCTCACAAGCAAAGCCTGTTCCTGCAGCAAGGGTGCGGACTGGCCAGAGGGCAGCCGCAGGGCGCCCAGGGCGCAGGAAGAAGTGGCCTCTCTCTCAAGCAGCACCTTTCCCACAGGTCTGAGCATGAGGGACCCCAGAGCGCCTCCTGCCGGTGCTGACTGTGCTGTCACATGATCATTTGCCATTAAAACCTAGTTTGTATGATGACAAAAGGGTTAATTGTGCAAGTGACCCATTTCATTTAAACTGTAATCACATCCCTTTTCTGCTTCACCAGCCTGAGCTGTTTTATTGAAAATATCATTAAAGATCTGGTCTCTTTCCTTTGGACTATTTATTTCTGGACACTTTCAGTGGAGCCAAGTAAACGATACACACTCAAGTTCTGGGCCTCATCAACAGCCACTGGGTAGCAAGGTCTTAGAGAACCCTCGCCATCTGGGGTACTGTGGGACAAGGGCCAAGATGCCATCAGGGCTGGGTGGCAGGAGGGTACCACCACCTACATCTGTGGGCCCTTCAGCAGGCCACCATCCTGGCTCCCCTGAGGAACCAGTTTTGGGGGTCTCATCAAAGGATAGTGCTCATCTTTGGAAGTAAAATAACTACCGTTGTTAAAAAATATCCTAGTTTATAGTAAGATTCCCTATATTACCTCTGTCTCCCCTCCCCTGCATACAGAAAAACCACCAGCCTGTGCTCACACCCTGGTTTTTCTTTGTCACTGATTTGCCTGTTCCTGTCAGTCTTCTAAAGCTACAGACAGTGGCGCCTGCAGCTCAGATGGTTTTGCCTGTAGGTCCTGTAGACCCTTGGATGGAGGCTGTGCAGCTGCTGTTGCTGCACCCAGGAGCCCAGCACCACACAGGGGCACAGGGAGACCGGCCTGGGGGCCCACCTGCAGGGTGGGCCCCCTCAAAGGGCCAGGCTTGGGCGGCACGCCCTGCCAGGGCATGGCTGTGTCTGCGGGGCTGCAGAGGCAGCTGGGAAGCCACAATGACTGAAATGACTTCCCAGGGGCCAGTGCACTTCCATAGTTCTATCTTTTAAGAGGCTGACAGAACTGCCTATTTCCGGGAGGCAGGCTTCTGGAAAGTACTTTTTAGGAGGGAAAGGAGAGAGAAGAGCTTTCTTTTAAGACTGTCTGTGGTTCCGTAGCGGACTTTGTGAATAGGGGCTGTACAACTAGAACATAATCAACTCGAAGTGTCAGCGGTAGCAAGTCAACCTTTTCCTTGAGAAATGCTTTTTTTTTAGCTGTTTCTTGGCTTATGTGATTTTAAAGAAAATTCACTCCACGGCTGTGGTGGAGTAATGAGGCACAGGGGGACCTCGACTTTGGTTTCTCCGAGGAGGGCACCTCCAGAATGGCTACTTTCTTTCCTGAGCTGTGTTGCGCTGTCTGTCAGGTCTGACCAAGCCTCAGTTCCAAAAGAAGGCCCAGCAGAGTTGCCCCGTGCTTCCCTTTCCAATTAATCCGGGAGAAGGAACAAAGGTGATCCCCAGGGGGCTGGTCCCGGGCTGGCTGGGGAAAGCATTTCCTCCATCACTGCTGCAGAGGCAGAGCAGCTTTCTCAGCATCCCCTAAATAAAGGATCAAACCAGTTCTTACTGGAAGCAGCAACTCACTCGGGGTTACGGGGTGGGAGTGAAGCACTGAGAAACCTGGTACTTTAAGGCAGTGAGAACTTAATGGCTACAGATTGAGGCTGATGCGCTGGTTTAAAGAGCCGGCTTAGACAAAACACTTGAAATTACAATCATTTCAAGCAGTTCTGCATTAAGAGCTACCTCATCCATCCTGGCATTTGGAGAAATACAGGAGGACATATAACCGGAACCATGTAAAGCCATGTAAACTTAAGTTTAAAACACCCGCACAGCAGTGCCTTGGAGAGAAAAGCTCCCCAAAATAAATCTTTTATGAAACTAATGGGTAAAAATAGAGGCAACTGAGAGGCCAAGGAAATCCTTTGCCTGGTGGAGGGCAGGTCCTGGTCTGGCCGCGTCATCGAGCCTGGACACCACCACGATTGAACAAAGACAGAAGTCCATGTGACACTCGAACTCTTGGAGGTCAAAGATAAACAGCATATTTTGAGAGCAGCAGGGAAAGCAACATATTGCATACATACTTTGAACAAGTGATGGCTGAATTCCCCTCTGAAACCATGAAGATGGAATACCTTTAAAGTACTAAGAGAAGAAAAGCATACACAATAGTCCAGAGGTGTCGCGTGTGCCTCCAGGTCTGAGCATGACGAGAGACCGTCGGCCCTTGATGGATACCTGGGCTCTGCGGAACAAGTCTCCTGTCTAAAGACACTTTTTACATTGAGTCCCTCCCAGCAAGGAGAATGCAAGCCCCGACTGAGGTGGTCTGGCC